AAAAAACACTTCTATTTCAACATTTTCCATATGAAAAATTATACCAATAAAACACAATAAATTAACAATTCCCAAAAAAATAATTTTTAGTCGATTCAATTCCCTCAAATTTTTTTTCTTTACACCCAAATTTCATATTTGCAATCAAACGGACCCTTAATTTTTTAAGATGGAATTCAGAATCTTAATTAACTATTAAAATAAAGCCACTCATATTTTGAGTAATTTGCAATGCTCAAATTTTAAATCATTAATTCATTTTCATCCCTCCCTAATATATGGGATTTAACAATTTCACCAAAAACTAACGTCAATCATTGTTAACTCAGCGATGCCGGCAGCGACGACCACAAATATTTAGAATTGGAAGAATTTCTCTTCATTCCGCCGCTGAATTTTACAATGGTCGATTACGGCGTTTTCGATCCGAATTCCTTGACTAGCCTATTTTTCGTATTTGCAAACAACTTACCGTATTTTGCACCTTACCATATATGTTGCCAACCGTATTTGCAACTTATCGTATTTGAAAACAACTTACCGTATTTTCATCTTATCGTATATGCTGCCTACTGTATTTGCAATTTACCGTATATGCTGCCTATCGCATTTGCAGTTTACTGTATTTTTATATACCGATTTTTACACTTACAAATACGAAGAATGCAGAACTCTGTACATTCACTTACCAAACCGAATTTCAAAAAAAAATTCCGAATTTTTTTTTTTTAAGATGAGCATAAAATAAATATTAAATATATATGAAACATAAAATATAAATGAATATGAATATGGTGCTCAATCTTCAATTTTTCAATATTGAATTACACAAAATTTAGAAATATAATCTTTACATTCAACTCAATCACATCAACACTATCAAAGAATACAAGCAAAATAATTTGTATAATCTCGTATATTTCTTATCCAAGTATGAAATATACAAATATATTTTTTTTTAGATGATACAATATTGTTATACAATTGTAAAAATAATTTGTAATTATTTTTCTTATATTATGGAAATATTTTTAGGTATTGCTTCAAAAACTTTTCAAAAAACTAAAATTCATACACTAATAAAAATACGATAAATGTAAAATTTGTACAACGCACATGACAGTCATTGTGCAGAGAGATTTTTTTTTTTTTTAACTTTGCACTATACGGAGAGTTTGGCAACTCTCTGCACTGTGCGAATTTATTTTTTTTGCTTTTTTTACTTCGTATTGCACGGAGAGTCCACACTTTGTGAGGGCAATGTCCGCACAGAATGTCATATCTTCGCACTGTGCGAAGAGACTTTTTTTTTACTTCGCACTGTACGGAGAGTTTGCCAACTCTCCACACATGGTTTGACATCTCTCCGCACTATGCGGAGAGTTTTTCTTCCTTTTTAACTCTGCACATGATTTGTCATCTTTTTGCACTATGCGCAGAGTTTATTTTTTTTAAAGCTCATATGCGAATAATTTTTTTCTTTTTGCTCATGACATTTTATATTTACTTAAAATTATTTTTTTTTAATGCTAGTGACATGATGTGTGGAAAAACATTTGTTAGACATAATTATTTTTTTAATGCTAGTTGGATGATGTGTGGAAAAATATTTGTTTGACATCAACAAAATAAAAAATAAAAAATGACAGTATGCATAATAAAATTGGATTCATTTACTATTGTATGAATAGTAAGCACTCCTTCTCCTTTTTATTAGAAGTTAGATATAGAGTAAGTACCCTAAAAATGCCCTCAAACGATCAGTTGTGCCTTTCTGAGGTTAGATTAGGGAAATATTACTACAAATTGCTTACTACTTAAGGTTCCAAAATTTGCACAAAATTATAATTTTTTGGTTTTCTTTAGAATATGTTTGCTAGTCACTTAAACACTAATATTGGGAGTAAATTTGTACATCAAAACAGAGGGACTGTGTTGGAGTGAGTTCTTTCTCAATCAATAGCAATATTCAGATTTCGTGGAGTTATATCTCAATTCTTCAGGATTTTATCATTTTTCATTTGGAGTTGGGTATTTTTTCAAGCTAAGGGGGTGTATTCAATTGAGATTTTTAACGACTTTTTGAGATTTAAAAAGTTCAGGAGTATTCAATTAAAACTTTTTGAGACTCTTTAAAAGTCACGGTATATTCAATTGAGACTTTTATAGACTTTTAAAAAGTCTCTAAAAGTTACGGTGTATTCAATTAAAACTTTTTAGAAGTTTTTATAATTGTTGGGGTATTCAAATTTTAATGACTTCTAGAGACTTTTATAAAAGTTTCTGGAGTACTAACTTTTAAGCAGAAAGTACTTATATAAAATCTTAAAATTTGTCTTTCATTAATCACGAGATTTTGGGAGACTTTCAAAAAAAAAAATTCAATATTTCTTTCCTTTAACATTCTATGGATATGTATGATTAAAATTTATTTTTTTATTTATTATATTTCATTTATCTTTCTTTCTCTCTCTTATTATTTATCCTTTTTTGTGAAAAATTTAGGATTCTTGAAACTTTTTTTTCTTTTTTTGTGAAAAATACTATTTTTTTAATTAAATTATAAAAGTTTATATGAAAAATTTATGATTAAATTTAAATATATTTATATTTAAAAGTTACTATACTACAAAAATTAAATCGTATTTATATAATCAAAATTATATATATATATATAATTTAGATAATTATTTATTTAATTAAAGTCTTAAATTTGTTTTTTTCAAATTGTTTTATTATATGGGAAGAATAAGGAGAATTGTGGGAACTAACACCCCTTATGTGAGAATTTCACAACAAGTCTACGTGAATTCTATTTCAAAAGAAAGTTTTTAAAAATCTTTTGAATTTCACAAAAGTTCATAAAAGTTTTAAACTGAAAATTCATAGAACTCTACGAAAGACTTCTATTAATTCCATACAAATCTGTAAAATACTCACAAAATCTACAAAAGTCGTCACTTAAAAAAAATTCATCAAAATTTTCAAAAGTCCCAATTGAATACACATTGGGAGTAAATATTTGACATGAACCAAAGCAGGTTTTTCTCTATCAATTCGCCTATAATTAGGGATGACAAATTGGCTTGTCGGCTCAGCCAAGAAAAACCTCTAGCCGACCCATGTGGCTCGTGGACCGGTTCGGAATCGGGAAAAAAAAACAGCAGCTGCCTTCTTGAAGAAGGAAAAATAAAAATAAAAATAAAAAAATACCGAGCCAGCTCAGCTCGGCAAGGTCCGAGTCGAAATCTCGGGTTAAGTCTCGATTTTTTGGGCGGGCTCGGGCAAAAAAAGGCCCGACTTAAAAAAGCTGGAGCCAAGGCAGAGCCTCGAGTTTTGGTTCGGCTCGTTCACACCCTTATCTATAATTGATGAGTGGTTTTGAGGAAAAACAATTATGCATGTATACTAACTTTGTATTCGGCCACTTCCTGTATAAAATAGTTATAATAAGAAAATTACTTAAATGGAAATCTTCTTATTTTGGCTTGTGCTCAAGTTGTTGGAATATATATATATATATTTATTTATTTATTTTTATTTTTTATTTTTTTTGGCAGCTTTGTGAAATACATTTTAACTTCATTTTTAAGTTTTAGCTATAACTTAATGGCAACTATTATTATTATTATTATTATTATTATTATTATTATTAATTTATTTATTTTGCAGCTTTGTGAAATATATTTTAACTTCATTTTTAAGTTTTAGCTATTACTTAATGGCAACTATAAGCTCTATAATTTATTTTTTTTATTTTTTTTATTTTTTTTGGGGTTAAACCTAATGTTGGGAGTTTGGATTTGATTGCCTTCTCAGGTTTAATCCAATTTATTTATTTTGACGGCCTATTTTATGTAGTTCGTCTCAGATCACGAAAATCTCATAATTGGCAACACCCAGTTATTAAAATTTGTGCCCAAGTCCAAGAAAATGTAACACACTTCAATTCCATGTATTTGCATGTAGTTCTCTAGAAAAACTTCGCTAAGATGGTTGCATCGTTCTACATGATGCGATTGTCGAATGTGGAGCTATCATTTTATAGAGTAACCTACCCTCACCCAATGAGGTGAAATCATCTCGGAACTTAAAATGAAAAGAGAGAGTAAAATTCCAAGATGACCTCACCTCATTGGGTAAGGGTTGACCACCCGATAAGATTGTGACTCTCTATTCGACGATTACATCACGTAGAGTGATAGTGTAACCGTCCTATCAAAGTTTTTCTCATAGTTCTCTTAAACAAAAAATGATATATTCAGAGAATGTTGGATTTTAACGGAAACCATTAAAAATCTTAATACCCATGCTTCTGATCAAATCCAACAGACTAGAAAAATCCTTCTTTCACGCGTAGGTACATTGTACATACATACCCCACCCCCACGAAAACCAACCCATACAATGCTTTCTGTCAACGTCGTTTGATTCTATTGCCATTAATAGTGCTTAACAGTCAGCACATCAAATACTTTACCTTTTTTATTATGTAAAAGACAGAATAAAAACAAAGTAAATTCTAAAGAATCCAATTACACAAATCCATGATTGAAGGAATTTTCTTTTCTCCATCACCTTTTTACACGTTCACAGTATTAATTGTAGTAATTTAATAATATTGCCTAAGATTCTAACTTTTTTGGTTTTATGAATTTGTCCGATAGTGAATGTCACAACATATTAGATATTATTTTTTTAAGAGTAAATACCATATTGATTAAATATTAAAATTATGATCAACATCGTTTAATCTCAAAACTCATATCAGAACTCAACAAGTTCTAGAGCCTGTTTGGGCTCGATTTTTTGACCAAAAAATTGATTTTTTGACCGTTATTTCACTGTTCCAGCCGTCATATTTGACTTCTTCTCTCACAGCTGAACCCCACTTTTCTCTTAACGGTCAAAAAATCAATTCTCAAAATCACTTCCAAATAGGCACCTAATATACAAATACAATCTCTTTAAAAGCTCAAATAAGCAATCGTCTCCTGAAAACATGTCGAATGTAAATGCCCTTCAATCCAATCTCCTAAACAGTTAATCCAAGTTTGCTTTATAAATATTCTTTTCTTTCGAACTTTGCTGGGCAAGTGGCAGCCAATTAGTCATCACTTTTACTCCCAAAAACATCTGTTATTTTCTTGGGGTCTAACAGAACGTGTGAATCATTACAATTCTTATTTCATATACATATATTTTCCATCATCTGCTTCTCAAATTTCTATCTGAAGATTAGTTTTTCAAATTTTCATTTGGTAAAAATGATAAGAAAATTAGCTGTTTTTTGTTGGGTTTTAATCTTCTGCTTCTGGGCTTCTGCAAATGCTTTGCTTTCTCCAAATGGTGTCAACTTTGAAGGTAAACACAGACTATTATTTTTTAGATTATTATATTTAACTTTCTAGATTCTGATTATTTTGGTCTTGATTTCTTCAACTTTTCAGTGCAAGCTTTGATGGAAATCAAGAGCTCATTAATTGATCCTCGTGGAATTCTCAATTGGGATGTAAATGCTGTTGATCCATGTAGTAATTGGGCAATGGTTACTTGTTCAAAAGATAATCTAGTCATTAACCTGTAAGAATAAGATAGATCTTTAAATTTCATATCTTCAACTTGAGATTTTTCTGCTTAGTTTTGCCTAAAAAAAAAAAGTTGGATCCTGTAATGTTTCAGAGCAGCACCAAGCCAAAGTTTATCTGGAAAAATATCGCCTAGCATCGGGAATTTGACTCATCTTCAGAGCATGTAAGAATCTAGTGTTTGGCAGGCTCGACTAGGATAGTGCTGGACATGATTTCCTATTCGATATTGTCTAGTAGTGTGCACCTAATGTTCCCTGATTTTTTCATTTTATTTATTTATTTATTTATTTTTATTTTTTTTTGATTTTTTTTTTGCAGATTGTTACAGGATAATAATATTACAGGACCAATACCTGTTGAGATGGGGAGGCTCCCAAAACTTCAGACTATTGATCTTTCTGATAACTTGCTTACTGGCCCAATTCCCTCTTCCTTATCCCAAATAAAAAGCCTCCAATACCTGTAAGCACATAATTTGATGTAGATTTTTACACTATTGAGCAATGTTTAGACTCGACATGATTATGAAAGACAAGAATCTAATGCAATCATGTCCAGTCGAGTGTAACAAACTAACGTAAAAGGGTTGAAGAATCCCCTAAAACCTAGAGTCTTATAGAAGTTATATGTATAGCAAGTTTATTTTACCGTTTTCTGTATTGTGATTGCAGGAGATTGAACAATAACAGTCTCACCGGAACTATTCCTCCTTTAGGCAACATGACTCAACTCTCATTTGTGTAATATTTCTCGAAATTTGTGCTCGTTTCATGCATATAATTACTAATTTCTCTACTAGAATTTCTCTTAATTTATTTGGAATTTTCATTTCATTTTTCAGAGATTTGTCCTACAATAATTTGAGTGGTCCAGTACCAAGAATAGTCTCCAAAACATTCAAGTTAGTTTCAATTTTTGGCAAGTAGAAAAGATTTTAACTTCAATTTTAGTATTATTTTTTTTAACTAATTTTTGTTTCAATTTCTCCGTTTTTGCAGTGTTTTGGGGAATCCTATGATATGTGCATCTGGGAAAGAGCAAGACTGCAATGGATCTGCACCATTGCCACCGCCATTCTCTATGAACAATTTTCAAAGTAAAAACCTTAAAATCGACTTGTTCTTGTTTACTATATAAAGTTATGCATAGTTAGTATGCAACACTACACACGACTCAATAAAATAATGAATAAGAATATAAATTTTTACATTCCTTAACACTGTCTAATACTATTTAATCAACATGTCATTCATCGAATTTTAAGTGAATATATTGAATCCATGTTCTGCACTGAAATGTCAATGCTTTCTTGAAGATCCTCAGCCATCAAGAACATCCAATAGTCGTAAAATCGCCTTAGCCTTTGGATCCAGTCTCGGCTGCATTTGCCTATTGATTCTTGGGTTCGGTTTCCTTCTCTGGTGGAGAAATAAGCACAACCAGCAAATATTCTTCGATGGTAATGGTATGTATGATATTACTCAATGCTTGGACTCTAGAAGCGAGTCGAATGTTTTATGTCTAAACTCACACTTCTAAATTTCAGAACAACATCATGAAGAAGTGTGTCCGGGAAACTTGAGAAGGTTCAAATTTAGAGAACTTCAGAGTGCCACAAACAACTTCAGCAGCAAGAACATACTGGGAAAGGGCGGTTTCGGTATTGTCTACAAAGGTTGTCTCGAAGATGGAACAGTTGTAGCTGTAAAAAGGCTTAAAGATGGCAATGCCATTGGCGGAGACATTCAATTTCAGACAGAAGTCGAAATGATCAGCCTAGCCGTACACAGAAACCTCCTCCGGCTGTACGGGTTTTGTATGACACCTAGTGAAAGGCTACTCGTGTATCCCTTCATGTCCAATGGAAGTGTTGCTTCACGACTCAAAGGTAAAATGTCCCAAAATCGTATGTTACTTGTACGCCTTACTCTGCACACTAGACGATGTTGTTCATTTCAATGGTATGCTCATCATTTACATATTTCACTGATAGTATTACTGTACCTATTGTTCCTATACTGTAGCCAAACCATCCTTAGATTGGGGCACGAGGAAAAGGATTGCCTTAGGAGCCGCACGTGGTTTGTTATACCTTCACGAGCAATGTGACCCCAAGATCATTCACAGGGACGTAAAGGCTGCAAACATATTGCTCGATGATTACTGTGAGGCTGTCGTAGGAGATTTTGGATTGGCAAAGCTATTGGATCATCACGATTCACATATCACAACGGCTGTTAGGGGCACCGTTGGACACATAGCACCCGAGTATCTCTCTACAGGCCAATCCTCGGAAAAAACAGATGTTTTTGGGTTTGGAATTCTTCTACTAGAATTGATCACCGGTCAAAGGGCTTTAGAATTCGGGAAAGCAGCAAATCAAAAGGGAGTTATGCTCGATTGGGTAAGTACCAACAGAAAACCAAACAGTATTGGACAGTACTAAGAAAAAAATAGAAGTCAAACTGTAAGGTCTAATACTGTGTACCAACCATGCAGTGCATGAAAACTCGGGATTTGCTAAGTTAATGTGCATATGGCTATCGCTGCAGGTTAAGAAAATTCATCAAGAAAAGAAGCTAGACATGCTTGTGGACAAGGACTTGAGAAACGACTATGATAGAATCGAGCTCGAGGAAACATTACAAGTTTCGATGTTGTGCACACAATACCTTCCTAGCTATAGACCGAAAATGTCTGAAGTGGTTCATATGCTTGAAGGAGATGGACTCGCAGATAAGTGGGAAGCTTCGCATAGAGCAGATGGTACAAGATGCAGAGCCAATGAATTCTCCTCTTTAGAGAGATATTCTGATCTAACTGCTGACTCTTCATTGCTTGTCCAAGCAATGGAACTCTCAGGACCGAGGTAATATAATTCTCGTACGAGGAAATAAGAGAAGAAGTTACAGGAACGCAAATTTATAACATAACACAAATGTATGATTTCTATGTAATTAGTTTGTTACAGTTTGATATGAAAGCTCTAGAGTGGAAGTGAGTTTGACCGATAGATTCAGATTTGAGGAACTTTCTTTAGGCTAGAAGTTATTCAGTGTTTCTTGTTTCTTTAGAGAGTGATCTTTACGGGAATGTTTTCAGGTTGAATTTGTAAGAATAATGATCTTGGAAATTGAATTGCTTCGTTAATCCTGAAAATTTGCCTACTTGAACTGATTCTCAGTGATGTCAAGCCAGTCTCCATGAAACATACTAAATGACCACTTGTTCAAGGGTGTGTCGAAGACTCAAATATCGAGGCTTCAACAATTGGGCATGTGAAACCACATCCTGGGCCTAGCCTGGTACATCTGGTGATGTGAACCTCCATGAAACATGCTAAGCCCTTGTTTGAGCGCCATTCTTTTTATAAGAATGAACTTTTGAATAGCGTATTCATGAAAAATGCATATTTAAAAAATTTTTTAAAAAAAATTATATTTACATGTAATATCATTTTATTGAATAATGTGTGATTGAAATAATGTCCAAATACTGTTTAAAAATGTATTTTTTTTTTTAATTTTTAAAAAATGGAGCTCAAATAAATAACAATTCCTCCAGAGTCTGTCAAAGACTCAAAATATGTCAGACAATCGAGGCTTAACACCTTAATAAAATTAGTCAAACGAATTCAAAAGTCATGTCAAACGAATCCTAAACCATGCCGAGGGGCAATGTTGTCTTACGAAACAGGATTTTGTGTAGAAGTGGTTTGTTAGTAAAGCTTCGCTATATCTGCAAGAGGAATTGAATGGTTACAACGTACTTCTATATGCAAATGACCTGGTCATGGATCTTTAAGATCATAAATTGCTTTATTCAATATGAACTATTGAAGTGAGAAGTAGAGCCAAAAACAACTCATATTGTCCAAAGAAAAAAATAAAAAAACATATATATCGAATTGCTTCCTGTTTCGAAATCATGTTAGATTCATTTTTCCTTTGTATATTTACATGATTTCACTTCAAAGATCAACTCCAAACTATCATACCAAGTCTAAAATTTTACAAGTTCAGTGCTTTTCTAATATCGAGTAACACGGATGAGTAGTACAACCATGATAAAGATACAAACCATTACAAAAACCGCAAGCCATGTGGCACAGGATGTCTTGAAAGTCTGCGAGTATACCTCCATTGCCCGACTGTTGACATGTCCAGTTCTCGCCAAGCTCTGCTCGACTGCTTTCTCTGTTGAGTCAAGTATCTACACTCAAGAGACAACCAACACATGGAGAACAATTGTAAAAGCGCTGATCGATGAGCAATATAATAAATAAGTCTTCAAAAAAGTTCAGCTTCGTAACCTGCCTTGTCTAAAAAGGATTACTTACCAAGTACTCAAAGCAAGAATTACGATCTCTATATAAATATATCGAAGCAACCTAGTGCCTCAAATTTCAGCAAGCAAGATTTGAACTCACTTTCTCTGTGTTTTGTATCGACTGACTCATCATCAGGGTGCTCTCTTTGAGTTGTCGCGCCAAACCAACCATTTCATCAGTCAAATCGTCTTGAAGCTTTCTGCAGAAAACAACGGTTCACTTTTGTAGGAACAATCTGCAATATTATGGTGATCTACCCAAAAAAAAAAAGGCTCATTGTCTAACCCAAGAATGTAATAAAGCTTCATGAGAAACTTATAGACAAACGCCCATTAAGGAAGATCAGAAACTACTTGCACAAGCCCAGAGAATGTAATATAAAATTTCTCCCTGTACCATTTTCAAGTTTCCTGATAATCCATCTACAGCATGGTTCTAGATATAATTTATCCATCACTAACTTGTTCGAGTGGCTGTTAATGGGATCATCGCGGACACCACATTTATATCTCTTTTTTTCCATTCAAAGAAATGCAGATAAGCTACCAAATAAAGGAACATATGCCAAACCAAAATGTATCACTTAAAACATGCTTACAAAGAATACGTTCAGTGTTATCAAAAATTTAAGATGCTAAAGAGTTAGGTCGTCACATTGGAGTGACAATGGACAAGGAAAAGAAAAATTAGAGATAACAGTCTTTAAGACAAATGACATGAAGATAAGAAGCTTGGGTTCTCAAGGCTTATGTTCGATGGAAGAAACAGAAAAATGTGTACAATGTAATGTAAAGCCTCCAATCGAGATAGGCAGTTCATTTAAATCAGACATTCTACATTTTCATCCAAATCCTGGGATTTTAACCCAATGTTTCTCAAGAGGGGAAACAGTTATTTATATAACAAAAGTAGTAACTTGAAGCCCTATAAACCAAACTAGTATAATTATTGAAACTTTTTTCTGTTTGAACTCAAATCTTAGTTATATGTGTTGCCTGCAGTTGGGCTGCAACTATTGGTTAAAAACTCAAAACTAATAAATTAACAGTGATGATTTTCATACATGTAGCCCCAGTTGAAGAACACCTGCACGAGCCATATAACCTTCTGTCTCGCAGCCTTGAAGCTCAATTCTGTCCTCCCGTACACCCGTTCTTATGCATATGCATACAACTCTTAGTATATGCTTGGATAAGCTTTTATGTGCTTTAAGTAGTATGTCTCAAAGAATGCGTGGTTAACAAACAGCTAAATGTTTTGGCTCCAGTGTGTGAATAAAAATGGAGTTTGACCAGCTTATAAGCAATTATAAGTTTCACCAAACATGCACTTAATATTTCAGAAGTGCTCCAACAAATAAGCTATTCAGACTAATATTTCAGTTATGTAAGATTTTGTGAGCAGTTTCATCAAGAAACTGCATAAATGCATGTAAATGGATAAAGTACCTGTGCTTCTCAATATGAGCCTGTGCTGCAGAATCCAATTTGACAGACCTCTCTATATTGTTGAGTTTGACGGTATCATTAGATCTATCTTCTGTTGGATGCCTGAATACATTGAATGTCAAATTTGAAAATATAAGACAAGATGTCATATACTAGGAGCTATATAAAAGTCATTTATACATAAGTCTCCGCCTCAATCCTCTAGGAGAGTGAACACTTTCTCCTGCTTCTTTGGAGAGGATTTGCATGTCAGAAGTCCCTAAAGAAGGATCCTGAGAAACTTGCTTAGTGGACTGCTGTTTCCAATAAAAAAGAGCGCTGTTAATATTATTAGAAATACAAACACTATCCATTTCAATTAAAGAGAACTGAAAGGAACAAGCAGAAATCATATATTCTAAATGTTCAAAACGAGCAATTTTTGGGAAATTGATCCAATTTTTCCTCTCTACTCGTGACTCTAGACGGTGAAGATGCTATCAGTGATTGTTTTTTTTTAAGTTGATAGCAGTACAAAACTTAGAATAAGAATGACGTTGCCTGAAAAGTATAACGTGCTCAATTTCTTAGTTCGTTTCAAGGGACAAACCACTGAAGGCAGACATTTTGTACATTATTTACTTGAGAAGAAATGAACATACAGTAATCGAATCTCATAATCTATAGATGGCTATAAATTCAGATCTTGTGTGATTATCTTTAGCTTTTCTTGTAGAGATTCAGGCCCAACATCCAGTCAAATTTAGTTGTCATTTCGGAAAACATTTATAGCACTAACTTTTATATATGATAAAATGATCAGTTTTTTAAGGGCATTAGTCTCTTTAGCTATGTGAAATTTTAATATTATACAAAATAATGAGTCTATAACTGATTCATCATTCACCAAGTTTTCATGTTAGTTTTGATCTATTTTGCAATTAACATAAATTCCCATCTAAAGAGTTGTACCTGGAATCAATGGCTTACCATGTATAACAAACAAAACATAGATTAGTAATACCAAGCCTCCATTTGTGAGCCCCATTCTCAGAAAACTCATTTTTCCTCAAATTCATCTTCGACCACACGTTCTCCTAATAAATTAATTTAAGAGTAAACCCAAAATTTTTCTCTACTTTTTAATCACACATTCTCCAAAAAATAACTATTACATACCCAAAATATGGGGCTCAAACAAGGGCTAAAATATGTTGTATAGCCATTTCAAGAAAATAAATAAATAAATGAAGTTCAACATGTGCAGCACATCAGTACACGCACCTCAGTGGTACTTATTTTGGCTTCTATACCTTCAATTTTCTCTGTATATTCATTCGAATGAGCTTTTGAAACCCTGTAGAAAGTATGTCAAAGACAGTTCATATCATAAAATCTTCTATATCAATTATCATCAGAATAAATGCATGAACAGCTTAAATAGACTTCAAGAAACTACATACCATTTCGTATGAGTAAAAAAGACACTAACCATAATGAGAATGCAACTAAATCCCAACCTGAATTGCAAACTAAGCAAGAAGCAATGAGCCCCACTTTTTCAACATCTCATATTAGTTATTACATACTCAATAAAGCAGATTCATTATTTTATGGTTTTAACTAATGGTAGAAAATTAGGGCAGAAAAGACACTATAATATCTCTGAGAACGGAGGGGTCAACATCCAGAGACAGATGAATTAATTCCAGAAATGATAAAATACCTACACCATAAAAAGTAAGCAGATACCATCCCACAAATCCTTATCACCCAAAAAACACTTTCGTTATCCAAAATCCAAATCCAACATAGAGGAAATTGCACTGCAAGTGTGTAATTGTAGAGTATGTTAGAGAGAGCTTTTAAGTTCTTATAAGTTGTGAGTCCTACATAATGTATGGATAATAATTGCAAAGTAAGTAGGTCCTGGTAAAATACTATGTTTGATGACCTTAAATAATAGTAAGCTTTGTCAAACACGCACTTAATACCCACGAGGACCTTAATCTTAAATGTCACCCTGTGAAGCATCCATTACTGTGGATCTAAGATACTCTATAAAATTATATTACAATCTGCAGAGATGGTTTTTGATTTTCATAAAAATTGAAAATTTGAAATGATATAAACTTGAATTCTTATCAATCAGTCATCTGTAGGAGAGTAAGTTCAGTCAACTAGAAGTAAATAGCACCACCCAAATGATGAAGTTCAGTCAACTAGAAGTAAATAGCACCACCGAAATTATACAAGTTCAAAATAAGTTAGATAACTTCATATCAACCTATAAGATTTTGTAACTGAATAAGAAAGAAGGATGGATGAGAGGATGTTAAGAATCCTATGAGAAAAGCATGCAAACCTTGGCAATTCTTCAGGAGTCTTCTCCTCTGCTAATTGCTCCAATTGCTCCCGCAATGTTGCAACATACTACATGGGTAGCACAATGCATATTCTATTAAGTGAGACGTAAACACACCACTAGTTCCAAACATGTTGATAATAAATAAGAAATCTTTCAAAAGATACATCAATTTACCTACTATGTTTGTTCCACCCATCATTAACTTATAAAGGTGATGAGTCATTTAATTCTTTATAAATCAACAAGACTGAATAGATACTAAAACTTTTTGATAAATCAAGCAAAAGAAGCATACATCTAGAGAATCTCTCAAGAAATAGTAAGGAGAAGAAGATTTAGCACTAAGGCCATTACTCAGTAAACAATTCTAGTGAAGAGAACTGCGGATGTACATGTATGAGCTTCGCTTGATTTTGCTGTTGTGGCGCAGTTGCAAGTAACCTTCTCAGGTTGACTTCAGTTCTGCTCAAAGTCATCCAAAATCCTTAGGAAATGTAAAACAAATTGATCAATTGCAACAAAACATTGCCCTTAAATGAGCAACTAGTAAACATTAATTCAACAAATAACGAGTGAAATATTATTACAAGAAAATTTCTCGTTTAACATAAGATTCCATGGCTTGGATCTCCAATAATGCTAAATCAAATACCAAGAAATGCCATTAGATGAGTTAAGTGTGGTGCATGTACTAACACATGCAGGAATGTGGTCATTCAGTATTCCAGTGTGATAAATCCTGACCTCGAATGAAACTGTGAGAGGAATGAAGCCACTGATAAAAACAAATTGATTATTACTGCAAAAATTTGGACTAAAAGATAGCTGGTTCAAACTTGAAACTTAGAGAGAATAGACCTCTATTGATAGATGTCTAAAAATGCTTCATAGATGTATCATTTACAAGGCATTTTACATTCATTTTGTGTTAGTTCGCTCTTTTTAGTACAGAATTTTAATTCTCTTGCCATAAATCCAATTTGCATAAATTATATACATGGTCAAAAATGCAATTAATCAAAATATGTATTTATATACATATTGGCATTAGTATATTTTAAAACAAGTATTTATTTGGCGTATTTGAAATGTAGAGAAGTGCATTTTAAAACAAGTATTGGCATTAGTATATTTTAAAACAATAATTTATTTGGCGTATTTGAAATGTATAGTCAAAAAAGGATGATCCGTCTCGGGTAGCTTGCACATATCTTAATGTGATTCAAGTTGGATTGGAAAGATAAGAGATGAAACTACAACTTTTTCATCGAATCATAGGGCAGCTGAAATTACCATTCAAAGTGCAAGTTGTTACTTTGGGTGTACAACTTTTCTACCAATGAGCAGCATTCAGTCTTTTGGTCATATTTGGGGACAGATGGACCTGATATTTGTACCAAATGAAACATAACTCAAATGGAAACAATTCATCTTTTGATTAAAAGTCCAAATTCCCTACACATCATATTTGAAAAATGACTTCAAGTTGCACAAGCTAGCTGTCTTCAAGCCGGAAAGAATGCAAGTTGTCAATTTCACTTGCAAGTTGGATGTTTCCTTGTCAATTTAAAATGGGACATTGGCTAAGCATTTGACGGCATGCATTTTTCTTCACCATGCTCTAGAGTCTTCTTTATTTTCTCTTCGTTACATTTTTATTATGTATTTCTGAACCCTTAGCTAGAGCTACAGTGAAACTTTGATGAATTTGTACTATTGTTCTTTGATCTTTTATTTTGTTCTTCAATGCTGATATTTTTAGTTGTTTGAAGTACATGTTCTACAAATTATTTAGTTTGTTAAAGAATTTGATTTATTGTTAACAATTTTGGCACAATAAATGCTTCGATAATCTTTACATACCAACAACTTGTTTTAATACATTCTCTCAAACAATTATGATGAACTATTTTTTAATGTCTTTGCAATCAATATTTTATCTTCCATATGAGATCAATCCCTAGTTGATGAGTTATAGAAAAGATAAAGAATAATTTCTATTCATTTATCTGAAGTGAATCCCCAATACTCTAGTGTTCTTTTTAATTGTATTTTCACCAACAGTTTGCTATCTTGTGGTTAAACCTCGGACTTTCAAGTTTACCAGTTGAGACAACCTGCACTTAGGTTTACAACCTTAAAGTTGTAGCAAATTTTTGGTGCAGTTCCCAGGTTGCATGTTCTAAGATTTTGTGAGGATTTCTTCTCTTTCATAATATTCACAAGTCAGGTACACTCATTTCTTTTTTCATCTTATCATTTTAGTTATTTTTATTTTAAAAGGAAGGCCGATCCTCCTTCATTTTTATTTTTTATTAAGGGAAAACTGAGCCTTCCAAATTACCTTTTCTTATTATATGGTTGGCCGTGCCACCTAATTTTCATCCTTACAACTACTTTATGTTATTTTATGTCAAATTGGTATCGTTATTTTAATTCTCATCATTTAGTTAGAGATAACTGTGAAACCTTTCTTAGTAATTTGTTTGATTCACTCCAACACTCACATCTTTTACCATGGCTGAAAGGGGTGTAGAAAATTCCTTTTCTTGTGTCAAAAGAGTTCGTCAAAAATTCCTAGTCTTGGTTTACATTTTCAAGATGCAACAGAAATTTTTCGATTTAGTACATATAATAATATAATACATTCTTATCAACTTGAAGACGACTAGCTTGTACAACTTGAAACCACTTTTCAGATACTATGTGCAGCAAATTTGGACATTTAATCAAAAGATGAATTGTTACCACTTGAATTATTTTTCCATTGGTACAAATATCAAGTTATCGAACACCTCAATCTCCAAATATGACCAAAAGACTGAGTACTTCTCACTGGTAGAAAAGTTGTACATGGAAAGTAACAACTTACACTCCGAAAAGTAATTTCAGCTATCCTATGATGTGAATTTAGATTTTTAGCAAACATGAAAGTTGTAGTTCTATCTCTTATCGTTCCACCTCAACTTGAACTACCTCAGTTCGACTTCTACAACTCATGTTATGATCATTTTATTAGAAAGACCTCATCCTTTTTTACTATTCAACACGTTTTTGTCCACTTGCATCTTACATCCAATAATGCTACATTAATTTTGACTTGCTTAAAATTCAAAAATTTCAGAATTTTGATTGAATTTTGAAATTGGTTGTAATCTTTGAGGAAATGGACTGGGATCGAACATTTTTCAACAATAGGTTCAGAAATGAGTATTTTCTCAGTTTTGAAAACCTCGTGTTCTTGTTTTAAAGGCTCAATTAGTTTTGAATATTTTGAAGATATGGTTCGTCAATGATTTTTCCACTATGAAGAGTCGTGATGGAATTGGCATTCTCTTGTTGAATTTCAAAGAACTAGACACGTTTACATTAAATTGAATGGAAGGATTTCGCTGAGGTTGAGTGAGAAATTTACCTTTCTATTGAGGACTCAAAGAAGTGGTTAATGAAGTGAGTGTATTCTTGATTTCATTAATTGTTTGTAGAGTTTGATTATTGATGTTTGCTTGCCCTTACATGAATGCTTGCAATGTTTCCTCAAGAGTTTTTTATTTTGGCGATGGGTAAGAAAGATATTTTGAAGGCCATTGAGATTGTGATACATGTGAACGATTATCATTCCAACTGAAATTGGGATGATTTCTCCATTGTTGATTATATCTGTCATAGTATAGAGAAGGAAAAGGCTTTTTGAGACTGTTCATAAAATTTGCTTGGTAATGTAAAACTTCTTTAAAAACTGTGATGTTGGGAATCATGTGTAGTGTGCCCAAAGGTTTCACAAATGCTACAAATTTCATCATTTTGCACGAGTTTAACTTCATTTAATTCCCTTAATTCCATGGCTTCAACCTTTCTAGACAAAGTATTAAACCTAGCATTTAAATTATCATCTCAATTCAATTAGTATTTTCCTCCACTAGAACTAGCAAGACTAAATCTGATTGAATTTTCAACCGATTTTACTATTTGCCAAGATTGAAAATTTTTACCCGAACATCTAGAAATTCCAAAGGTTCATCGAGATCTTTATCTAAAAATTCACCATTGCATATTTTTTACACATTGTTTTGTTCCAAGAGTTAAACCCTCGTAAAATAAACTTATAGTGCGCCATTTTTCAAAACTATGATGTGGACAAGTATTTAAAAATATTTAAATCTTTCTAAACATTGAAAGTACGCTTCTTTGGTTTCTTGAGAAAAATTTTGGATATGTATTTTGAAAGCATTAGTTTTATGGGCTCGAAAGAATTTCTTCAAAAACTAACTTCACATTTCTTGTCATGTGCCAATCAACCTAGGGGTGCGGTTCGATTTGGGCGGTCTGTGTCATATTTTCAGTTCAAATTATTTTATGCAGTTTGGAATTTTTCCAAACCAAACCAAACCATTTTATTTTTCGAACTGAACCAAACCAATCCAAACCATAATTTGCGATTTGGTTCGATTTTAATTCGCAGTTTACCTATCGATATTATAGTAATATATTTTAAACAAGTTAATATAAAAGTTTAAACGAGAATTAATAATGTTACATGTTAAATACATTCATATTTACCATGAAACCCACCTATCAAAAAATATTTACTATAAAACCCATGAATAAATTATTTTCAAAATTGGTTGCTAAAAGATGTTAATAGAACAAATAAATTTATTCATTTTTATTTATTTTTTCTTGTTTAACTTTCATATTGTCACATAGCGGTTGGTAAAGGTAAAGTCACATTCTGCTATTATAATTTGGTTAAAACTCCTTTGGTCTAGCTAGCGAGGTGTTAAATAAGGATTGAACATGATATCTTCAGATGTACCAAGATTGATAGAGTTTAAGTTTATTGGAAATTCACGAATTTCATTTTATAACTACTTTATGAAAGTAGAATTTACCACAATCAATAAACTATGTCCTTCGTTCTTTCTAAACCACAAACAAGTTCATTAATCATTTGAGCACACATACAATCATTTTTTTAT